AAGGAAGGAAGGAAGGAAGGAAGGAAGGAAGGAAGGAAGGAAGGAAGAGTGGACAGTTGAAAGTTGAGGCCACCTTACACAGAGGTCCTTGGGCAGCTAGAGTGGGGGTTGGGGAAAGTGGGGTGGCAAGCTCAGACTCGCCGGGTGCATGGGGAGACTTAAGCAAGAGACTGTGGGAGGAGAGTAGAAACATCAGGGCAGGCCCTGCTTAGCCTCCTCCCTGTGAGCAGGCCCTGGCTGGCTCGAATCCCCGGCAGCAGGGGCATTATTGCTGTGATGGGGCATTGGGTGAAATGATCATGTCTGGGGACAGGGTAGGAGTGTTTTTACATGTTAAATATGGACACAAGGGAAGACACACAGGCACATGTACATACATACACACACACATACACACACAGGGCCCCTCGGCTGAGATGCCACAAATCATCAACTGCCCACCTTACAGATGGGGAAACTGAGGCAGAGAGAAGCCACCTACCCTAAGGCTCGGCAGAAAAGCCAAAGACCAAGCAGTCAGTTGGCTGCAGTCCTAGGGCTGTGCTCCCCTTAGATGCCCAGCTACGGGATCTATACAGGGGCTGGCCAATGGCAGAGGCCATAGCCACAGGGGCAAAGACTGTAGCTCAGAGAGAGAGCAGGGCCAGTGTCGGTGCACAGCAGGGAGGAGTCTTGCCCTCCTTTCCCTGGCCGAGGAACTCTCCTCCTTCCCCCTGAGTTAAGGAGTCCCAGCATAGGCAGGAGAGCAGGGGCCAGGAGTTGAAATGATCAGGACAAATGGAGGAGGATGACCAGGCTCTTCTTAGCTCTTCAACTTCTACTGGCTTGTGTCAGCAGCCTAGGCGCTCACCCCACATCACAGCTGGCTCTGAAGGTCAAAGGCCATCCACACTGTGACTGAAGCCCATTCCACACCCTCATGGTCCAGCCCTCATTCCTGGCTCAGCATCTGCTTGCCTTTCCCCACAACAGACCCCTGGGCCTCCGTGGCGGCAGAACTCTGCCTCCTTTAGCCCAGTCTCAGGCCCCAGCCTGTCCACTGCCTTTGAGGACAGTTCTCATTAGTTCCTGAGGAAGACAGAGGGAGCACCAGGTGCTAAGCCCACCTCACAGCCCCTCCTGGATTCAGTTTTTCCAACAGAGAAATGAGGGCAGTGTGTCAATGATCTCCAAGGTTCCCTGTGGAGGACAGGGCTGAGAGGGAGTGCTCACCCTCACACCCCAACTTGTGTTGGGCCTTGGGCTGTCCAGCCTGAGAGCCATGGCAGGGAGCTCCAGACCCAGTGTTCTACCCAGAAGCCTCCAACAAGGATGGCCAAGGGCAGGAAGTACATATAGGCAAGGGCTGGGCCTCATTCCTCTTTGGAAAGGCTCTTTGGCCAGCTTGAAACAGACCCAGGGTGAAGAGAGTAGGGAGGAGCCAGGTGAGTGGAGTGGGCTGAGGTTGGAAAGCCACCCCACAGCCCTGCTCTTCACCTGGTGTCTACTGCGAGGAGCAGGCTGGCTCCAGAGAATGCACAGAGAGGGCCTGCGACCAGGGCAGGCCACGGGACAGTCACTGGACCAGCCTCAACCTGCCCTTCCAGGCTGCCCCTGTCCCTGAAGCCCTTCCATGCTCCAAAAGGGGCATCACCGAGGCGACTCAGCCCCAGAAAGAGGATGAAAGGAGGTGGGTGCCACAGAAGTGACAGCCCAAAGCCTAGGGGCAACAGTCCTGCGCACAGTTCCTATAGGTTCTCCCCGGGTTGGTACTGCGGCTCAGTGGATGTGAAGTAGTCCTCCAGGAAGGCCTGCAGGTACTCGAAGGTGGGCCGCTCCTCGGGCTCCTTCCGCCAGCACTGGCACATGAGGTCGTGCAGGGACTCGGGGCACTCGGGGGGACATGGCATCCGGTAGCCGCGCTCCACCTGGTCCAGCACCTCGCGGTTCACCATCCCTGTGGACAGAGGGGCTGTGAGGAGACGGCTCCAGACACTGACACGGCTGCTTTCAGCCCGTGGCGCAGAGAACCTCGTCTCTGAGGCCAAGAGCCCTGACTGAAGGCAGCCTCTTTGGGATCCAGCCCGGAATGAGGAAGCCCAGGGGTGCCGTGGGGGGGGGGAGACTTGCCCCTAGGGCCAAGATCAGGAACACCAGCATAACCTCCTCACCAGGGTAGGGCACTCGTCCCTTCGTGGTGAGCTCGGTCAGCAGGATCCCGAAGGACCACACGTCCGACTTGATGGTGAACCTGCCATACAGTGCAGCTTCAGGGGCTGTCCACTTGATGGGGAACTTGGCACCTGCAGGAGAGATACGCATGGGGTGTCACTCCTGATCCGCAGCAGGGGCCTCACTCTCCTCTCCACTTGACAGACCGACACCATTGGCCGCTCCCCGGTGGCCCCACCTTGCCGGGCCGTGTACTCATTGTCCTCGATGAGCCGGGCCAGCCCAAAGTCAGCCACTTTGCACACCAGGTTCTCCCCAACCAGGATATTGGCGGCTCGGAGGTCCCGGTGCACGTAGTTCATCCGCTCCACATACGCCATGCCTGAGGCGATCTGCAGAGACAGAGGGCCTGGCTCAGGGGCCAACCCACACCCACCCCAGCAGTACAAACCAGTGTCTCGGGCTGGTCGTTCCTGGGGAGAGAGAGACAGCCAAACACCCTGCCAATCCCATGTCTTTTCAAGCAAGGACCTTCATTCAGCTCACAACAAGCAGCGCTGGCTTGAAAAGGCAGACCAGACCTCAGTGGCCGAGGGGGACAGCAAAGGACAATGGGAGGTCACAGTAAGACGCTGCCAGAGAAGCAGGTGTTAAAGAGGACCCAGATGACCCATAGACACAGGTGCGTGCCAGGTCATTTAAAACTTTCCATACTTTATTTTCATTCTTAATTCTGTATATGCGTGCCTCCGGCGCCCAGATATGATGAAACATCCCAGGCGCCTGCAAGGGTGCCACTAGTGGCAAAGTTAGATTCTGGTGTAATGAAAGCAGGCCTCCTGGAGGGGACACTCTGGAGCCTGAGGGCTGAGAGCTAAAGGCACAGGAAGATGGCGGAGGAAAAATCACCTGAGCAGCCATGTCCACCAGCTGGGGCAGTCGCAGGTATTTGCCTGTTTCCCCCTTGAGAAAGTCCAGTAGACTCCCTGGAGAGAGAGAGAGAGAGCAGCTGTAGCCTAGCCTGGGTCTCAGACCCCCTCTTGCTCGACCAGTAAGAAACAAACAAACAAACAAAAAACTTCAACTCAGTGTTTGGCACACAAAGGCAAACACTCAAGGGAGCTAGACCAAGAAACCCTACTGGGCCCTTGTGGTAAGGGTAGTCTTGGGAGGGTGGGCAAACAAAACAGGGGGTTGTTAGATGCGAAAGACAACGTGGAAAGCCCGAGACAGATAAGTTCATCAGGACCAAGCCTGCCAGACAGCTGCTGCCCGGGGCTGGAGCGGGAAAGCCACGTGGCTGAGGACAGCAGGGAAGTCTGGGGTGATGTGGCTGCTGTATAGACAGACATAGTGAGCCGCCCTACTCACTATGCAATGAAGGCTGACCTTAAACTCGTGATTCTCCTGCCTCTACCTCAGTGCTGGGGTTATGGGTCCATGTCATCATGCCTAACTCGTGCAGTGAGGGAGATCAAACCTAAGGCCAAAGCCAGGGTCTTGTGCACGCCAGGCAGGCACTCTACAACTGAGCTGCAGCCCCAGCCTCACACTGCTGTTTGCTGAGACAGTCTTGCTACAGAGCCAGCCTGCCCTCAAACTCCAGATCCTCCTAGGCACTGGGATTACAGGTGTGTGCTACACAGCACCCAACAGCAACAGGGGTCTTGACAGCGGTAAAGGACGAAAGGAGAATCTTTAAAAAAAAAAAGTAGCAGTGCTTATTTATGAAAGGAGTGAGACGGTCCCTGGCTTAGCTGTCCACCCATCAGGGTTGGTCTGGGGTAAGAAGTAAGTTTCCTGCCCTGCACAGGCACTGAGTGGCGCTTGCCCCAGGCTCAGGCCTTACCCTTGCTCATGTACTCAGTCACAATGTAAATGGGTTCCTCCGACACCACGGCATACAGCTGCACCAGCTTCTCGTGCCTCAGTTTCTTCATGACTTGGGCCTCCTGCAGGAAGGCCTCTGGAGACATGGTGCCTGGCTTCAGGGTTTTGATGGCGACTCTTGTGGTGCCATTCCAGGTCCCTGTTCGGGAGGGACATAGCAAGCTCAATACAGGCCTTGGTTGGTTCTGCTGCACTGGGCCAGGCCGGCCCACAGGCAAGCCTGTCTCCATTCCTGCCTCCCAATTCATGGCATGGGCTCAGGCAAGGCCAGGGGCCTTCCTGAGACTCTGTATTCTCACTTATAACATGGGTTTGAGGAACGGAGAGCCCTCTCAGGACTGTGAGAGGAGGGTCTGGAGCCTGGTCACAAACAGTGGCTGCTAGGACACTGACTGATTGGGAATGTGGGTGACAAAGATCCCATCTCAACTGCTTCCACTTGCATGACCCTGCCTCAGCTGGGTGGGCACTATCAGCGCTCTAGAGGAGAGGGCAGGCTGTGTCTGGGGCCATTGGGAACACCAGAACGAAAGGTCGACTTGGTGCCTGTGATGCACCAGGCGGGGAACCGACCAGCCAGCCGGGAGTGCTCCTCATGGCAGGGACGGGGTCTGAGGGGAGACGGGGTCAGCCCTCTAGCCCGTCTAGCGTCAGGCCATCCACGGATCTTTCGTGGCAATTCCTGTTCTATGCAGAGCCCCAGGGAGAGGTAGGAGGCTCTCAGATCCCCAGCACACACTACCAAGAATCACAGTTGAGGAGGACCAAGGCTGAGGCTCACCCCGGACCTGCCTAAACCCTCCTTTTGGTCTCAGCTTAGGAGCTGGCTTCTCCCTCTGTCCTTCCTCCTCACATCCCTTCCCCACCCAGCCCAGTCCCTCCAGTGCCCCCTGAAGGGAGGACAGTGAAGTAGGCACCACTAATGTCCCTCCACTCCTGGGTAGGCAGAGAGCGGCCAATGGCAGAGGAGCCCGGGTTCGGCTAGGACAGCCCACTATCACAGGGGACTCCTAGTGGCTGCACAATTAGACAGGAAATGGGACAGTGACTTCCCGAGACTCCTTCTGCACAGCGCTTTCTCTTTCTGTGATGAGCTTACATGACTCTTGAAACTTACTATCAGCCCATTTTACCTCAGAACCTAGGCACGCTCACTCAGGCCCTGAAGGAGCACAGTGCCGAGTGCCCAGCAGCTCCTAGTACACAGAGCAGTCTCTAGCAGCATGGGCTACAAGGAGTCAGGTGTGCCAGTCTTAGTGCGGACCCCAACTGGGGCATAGCCAGGAGACGGGAGGGCAAGATCAACATATATTACATGTGGGTTTGAAAGGGTCACAGGAAACGTAATCATGTGTTCAGCTGAATAAAATCAGGGCCCATTTGTTCAGCAGAGACAGAGAGAGAGAGAGGGGCCCAGGGGCCCTGAGCTGTCTGGCTGGGATGGGGACAGGGGTGCATGTTCCTTACCCATCCACACCTCTCCGAAGCAGCCCTGGCCCAGCTTGACCTCTAGCCGCAGGGACTCCCGGGGGATTTCCCAGGCATCCTTGGCCAGGCCCTGGGTCTGAGGCTTCGACGTGGGGCACACGGTAGTGAGGCGGTGACACAGGCCGTCAGCATGTTCTGAAGACGGAGGCACAGGACGGGGCTCAGACAGGGTCCACAGCAAGCTGGCCCTCTGTCCAGCTTGGATGGCCCTATGCAGCATGCGCACATCGGCTCTGGGGACAGGCACACGCCCTCCTGATATACCTCTGTCCCCACGGGGCGGCGGCACAAAACTCACCTGCCAAACCACTAATTCCTTCCCCTCTCCATCAGATTTGGGAGCACCAGAGAAGCAGCGGGGAGCAGGGGCGAGACCCTGGTCTAGGGAGCTCCCCCCCACACCTCTCAGGACCGCAGATGTGACGGAGCAGAGTTTGAAAGAGGGGAGCCAAGCAGGCTTTAGGAATCTTTTGGGAGCCCTGGAAGGCATTCCAGACGAAGGGGTTCCTGAGCTGGCACAGAACATGGCCTGGGCCAGGGCCCAAGATCACTTGTGCAGGTGGAAAAGCCTCCAGGAGACGGGAAGCTGGAAGTGAGGCCGGAGGAGCTGGCAGATGAAGGCATGGGACAACCTTTAGCCACCCAGGCTTGGGGCCTTGGGCCTCCATCATAAGGTTCCAGCCCTACCTAGAGGATTTGGTCAGGGGACATGAACCCCAGAGCAGAAGCAGACGGACAGAGAGGCAGCTGGTCCTAGAGAGGCTCAGGCCCAGGCTGAGGAGGCAGCTCACGAGGCGCACACCTGCAGTAGCCCTGCACAGACAGGCACGCACCAGCCCCATCACTGCACACGGCCCCAAACCCCAGCTCCAGCCCACTCCACGGTTCTTATCAAAGAGGCCTCCCCCCTCCTCCTCTCCAGGAACCGGTTCAGACCAGTCTTGGGGCTGCAGAAACAATCAACAGCAGCCTCCGGCCCCTCCCTTCAAGCTTGCACAAGGCAGACCCCTCCTCATCAGCCAGCTGCAGAGGAAAGGAGGAGGGGGCTGGGCAGGGAGAGAGGGGAGAGACACCCCAGGGCCGAGGAGGCACACCCTGGGCACCCCACTCCCCTCCTGGGGGGCCAGCCAGTGAGTCCCCACACCTCCAGGGGACACTCACTAGAGTAGTAAGCCACGAGCTGCTGCAGGCTATTGAACTGGGTGCGGGAGGTGATGTAGAAACCACCGCTGTCCAGTTTCCGGATCTTGTAGTGTTTCACATTGAGGCCCTTGGCATTGTCGAAGTCGGATACAGAGAGGCAGTAGGCACCTGTGGGCAGGTAGGGAGGAAACCTTCATGGCACCCTGCTGGTGTGCCCCTTGCTGGAGAAAGTGAGTTCAGTCCACCCTCTTTCAGCAGCCGTGTAGACACAGCCAGGCAAGGCACAACCCCCCCCCCCATGGCGGAGACCCCTCCAATCATCCTCCATGGGCCTGAGTTTCCTCCTCTACACGATGAGACTGCCGTGAGGGTGCACGCAGTATTCAGCAAGCACCCCATAAATGCTGGCTGCTGCCCTCTCTGCCCACTCCTGTCTCCTCGTTCTGCGTCCTGGAGAGCAGCTGAGCAGACAGGAGCAGTGTGGCTGGCTATGTGCGGCATGCGAGTGCTAACCCTGCCACAGTAGTCCAGGGCAGGAGGTGCACGGAGTGTGGCCGGCGGGTCCTGCCTCCCTGGAGCCTAGAAAAACCGCAGCTGGGAACGTCCTGAACAGAGACCTTTGTTAAACAGAGCCAGGAGCACCTAGAGGAGCATCAGGGAGAGGTGGGGCACAGTCCCCATGGACCTAGCAGGTAGTGGGCAGCTCTGAACAGAGGCTCTGCCTCCCCACCACCCACTGGACATCGTTGGGTAAACATGACGACCTTCTGGTAACCTATGAGTGAGTCAGGCAGGGCTGGGCCTGAGACCCACCCTGGCCTGTCTCAAAGCAACACTGGGAAGCCATGTTTTCTACCGACTGCCCACATCGTGTGCACACAGAAGACACGGGCTGATGGCCGTGGCCAGTGGGACCGCCTGTACACACGGCAGCATACTGATATCCAGTGGCCACATGTTTACATCTGCCCATAGCCCCAAGCCTCAGGAAGCAGGACCACACCACATTTCACTCCCGGCAGCACTAGCCAATGCCACCCCCAACAGCACACACACACAGAGCCGTGACTGTGTACTGGGCACAGCACACATGGCGGGGTGCAAGCACTTTTTCATCTCCCGCTGAGCCCCAGGCCCACAGGAAGCAGCCTAGCTTGGTTGCCATGGTGATGGGCTAGGAGAAGGGGCAGAAACAGAGCAGAGACAGTCTGTGGGGGAAGGGCAAGGCCAGGCCAGGCCCCTGGGAAAGAGGAAAGGGAAACAGAGGGGCCCACTGCATCTGTACCTATCCTGGGAACAAATCCACGGCTATGTGACCCTCGGGGCTCCTGATAACCTGCACCCACTCCCCATGTGAGAAACTGAGGCCAGAAAGGAAGGCCTCAGCTTGTATGCCCTGACCACCACCTCTGGGCCACGCAGGCCTCAAGCACCATGTCACTTCAGTTCCTGCTCTCTCCTCCACCAAAGGGTTCTTCCCTTCCCATCCCATGTACCCGTGTATTCACTCTGCAAGATCCAGCTCAAACAATACCCTCCAAGCTGAGTTCTGCTGACCACGGATGTGCTCAGGCATACCTTTTGTGGTCTCACTTTCCCTCACGAGGAAGGTCCCTCTTGGGTTCTCAGCATTGAGCAGTAGCCGCTCTGATTCCCGTCTTGTGATCTTGCCAAAGTACCACCTAGCGGGGGAAGGAACAAGTCAGGGACCCAGGGCTGGCGGCGGCGGCGGCAGACCATAGCCAGACAGTATACTCACTCCTCAGCCTGGATGGAGTCGGAGGGAGCCACATAGTTGCTGGGGATGTAGCCGGTCTGTCCTGTGCTCAACGAGTGTGCCAGCCACCAATCTCCCTCTCTGCGCAGGCGGGGGGGAGCAGAGAATGATGTCATCAGGTGAGCAGGGTCAGCAACCCCAACCTCCCCAAGTGCATGGCCAGGCTCCGCAGCAAGGGAAGCTGGGCCAGCCTGTGTCCACAGCAAGCCAGCAGGAACTGGCCTGGAACTGGCACACTGACCCAGAGGGATGCCACCCAAAACCTCAGCAGAACTCAGCCCCCCTCTGCCCAAGGACTGAGCCCCGGGGCACTGTCCAGGAGTGCGGAGCGGCCTGCAGGTGCCAAGGGCTGCCTTGGAAGAGAGGGGGAAGGAGAAGGGAGAAGCAGGGTTTACATGAGATAGATGCCAGATTAGACCTTCAAAGTCTCCCCAATCCCTGAGAGCCCTAATGCCCAATGGAGACAAGGCTGGCCCTTCTGGGGCCCAGCAACAGTCCAGGCCTACCTACCCCTTAACACAAGCAATACTTGCCCGTCCCAAATCACAGCTCACCCTAAAGGTCCTTAACTAAAAAATGACAGGCCTCCTCCTGCAGCCTACCCCTGTCCCCTGTCCATGGGGAAGGTGAAGCCAGGGACAACTGGGCCATGCCCAAAGTCACACAGGGAGTCACGGGGAATACAGTGGCCCAGCCTCAGAGCCCAGGGCCCTCGGCACTAACTACCCAACGAAGAGGGGGAGGAAGGAGGAAGGAAGAGGGAGGAGGGCAGGAGGGGGAGGGGTGGAAGTACCTTTGCAGCCATCTGAATGTGAACCAGGTCTGGCTGGAGCAGGGGTCCAGAGACAGAGGAGGGAGGAGCAAGCGAGAGCCCGACAGGAGAGAAGAGGCAGAGATGGGGGTGTGGTGAGAGGCCGTGGCAGGGGGTCGAGGGAGAGAGCGAGAGCCAGGCAGTGCTGGGGACACTGGGAAAGTGCCAAGGGGGCAGCCAGAGGCCTCACATCCAAAGCAACCAAAGGGGCCAAGGAGAAGGCTGGAGGTTGGAGGGGAAGATCAGAGGATAGGGGCTGGGAGCTAGGGTCAGCCCTTTCCACACTCCCTGTACAGATGGGAAGACTGAGGCCGGAGAAGCAAAGGGCTCTGTGCAAGGTCACACAGCCAGGCCAGGTGCCTCCCCGTGGGGGCCATGAGGCTCAAATACAAAGAACCAAAGGCTCATCTCCACGCAAGGCTTGGGGGAGGGGAGTTGGAAAGAAGGGAGTCAAATTAGTCAGCTGGTGACCTTGGCCCTACCTTGACCCTGAGAAGACACACAGCATCCCCACCCTGGTCCAGAGACAGAAAGGCCCTGGCCTTGTCTGGGACAGAGCCCCAGCCTGAATGCACTGGATGTCTGAGCTCATCTTTGCCCAGCTTTACAGATGGAAACACTGAACCCAGGAGCAAGTGGAGCTGGAGACGCTCGAAGGACCAGCTGGAGGCCAGGCCATCATCAGACCCTGCTAACGCTGGGCCACAGGGGTCCCTTCTAGATGGATGTGCACCGCGAGACTGGAGCCGTGAGGGACAGACACATTGGCAGTACCCATGCGCCAAAGCTCCACCCTCGCTTGGGATACACACATTTTCCTCTCTGATTTGACCCCCAAAGGTCACCCAACAAGGAAGAAGGCAAGACCCCCAACACAAAGACCCAGTCACTCCAGCAAGAGAGACCAGTGTTTCCTTGATGGAGTTGGGGAAACTGAGGCATGGAGTAGGAGAGGATTTGCCCAAAGCACTCTAAAATCTTTCAACCCAAAGCATCCATGATTTGCCCAAAGCTACATAACACAGTCAATGGCAAAGAGAGGCTGAAATCAAGGACCCCTGGTGTCCACAGCCAAATGCAGCAGCCCAGAAGCTCAGGGCCAAGAGGGGGAGAGACAGAAAGGCAGGAGGCAGGCTGTCCCAGGACGGGGGCTGCAGAATAAGGTGGCCAGACTTCAGAGTGAGCAAAGCAGCCTGACATTAGCCCACAGGAGCCTGGGGGGTGGAGGGTGGGGGTTCACCGGCCTGTTTGGGGCTTTCCTCCACAAGAAAATGGACTGAGCAGTACCAAACTGGGCCCCTTGATCTGAAGGCTGGGCTCCCTTGCTGGCTCCCAGAAGGTCAAATGTCAGTGCACAGAAAAAGGAAACTGCACCCCGAAGGAGTCGGGCTGCTCTGTGACCCCTGGGTAAGAGATAGAGTCCAAGTCCCCAAGCCTTTCCTGCCTTCCAACAGGGTAGGTCGCCACCCTAGGACTGTGGGCACTGCCCACTCAGCTCTGCCTCTATCAGCTGTGTTACCTTGGGCAGGTCAACTCTCCTCTCGTTGCCACAGTAACAGCGATTACAGCTGTCATACTGTTCCTCCTCCTCCTGCTCATCCCAATGCCACCAACATCCGGGGACACGGGGACTCAGGGACTTCCATTAGGAGGGAAAGAGCAGCTGGCCTCTCTGATGGGAAGGCCGCTTCCCCAGGGTGGCAGTCTAGGAAAGGGGAGAGCAAAGGCCCAGGTTCCTTCTTGGGCTTGCTATTCTGTAGCCATGTGACCTTGGACAAGGGCCTTCACAACTCTGAGCCTCAGTTTCCTCACTCACAAAGCAGAGCCAGCCCCTCCACCATTACTGCTGGCCCCGGGATCAGAGATAACGAGATGAAGGGGGTATGGGTGAGAATGACTGGTACAGCGTATGGCACCTGCTTGCTTTTGCCTCACACAGAGGGCAGTGCCACCCTGGATCTTGAGGGATGGATAGGAGTTCACCAGGGGGATACAAGAGAAGGCATATTTCGAGCAGACAGAGTAGCACACACAAGGACGGGAGGCACAGGCAGGGAAACACCCCCAGCGACGTGGAAAGCTTGCCTCCTTAGCCAGGCCCTGGGAGCACTCTGTGATAAGCTCCTCTCTACCTTTCAGAACAGCCCAAATCAAAGTCCCCAAGCCTTACCTGCCCCAAGGAAAGGCCCCCATAGCCCGGCACACACCTCCAACCATCAGCTGCCCCTCCCAGGGCTGTTACCTTCCACCCTTACCTGCAGTGGCTCACTGTCCTGCCTGGGATGCGCAGCCTGATAAGGACAGCCCCTTCTCCCGGGCCCATCTTGCAGGGACCCCAGCCTGCCTCTGCCCGCCCCTGGCCTGGCCTGGGGTAGCCCACTTTCCCACCATATTGCCTCCCTCCCCGGCCTCCAGAATACACTGGGTCCTGCATGTAGCTGGCACTCAATGTGGAATCACAAACCAGAAGAGGGAAGAGGTGAGCTAACAGGAAGGTGTGGGGAGAAGATGGAGGGTTGGCTCAAACGGGTGAGATGCAGGATAAGCTAAAGGGATGGGAAAGGGCTTGGAGACCACACAGGAGCGGTGAGGGAAGCACATGCAGAGAGCAATCCCCAGCCTCAGCGAAGCATCCCCCTCCACCTGGCCTCGGTACACACCTGACATCCACCTTCCTCCTAAGGGCCAGCGAGAGAGAAGCAGAGAGAGGGAGAGGCTGAGGTGCGAAGGCAGGGCCCGAGGGAGGAGACCGTCGGGGTTTAGGGAGGGCCACCTCCCACCAAGGGCAGAAGCAGCCCAGTGAGCTCTACACCGCCCTCTGCCGGCAGCTCTGGGTATAGAGGGGCCCACGCTCCCAGTGCGGTGCCCACCCCACACCACCCCCGCAGTGCCACTCACGTGTTGTTGACAATCTGCAGCCGCTCCCCTTTCTTGAAGGACAGGTCAGTCTCTGTCCGTGACTCATAGTCATAGAGGGCCACAAAGGTGGTCACCCCACCTGCAGAGCGGGATAGGAGGTGTCAGAACCCCGCAGGGGACGGAGTGGGAGACCGCCTTCCTCGCCAGCCTGGCCCTAAGAAGTCACACTGGGCACCGGAAGGAGCAAGGGCCTGTGGCTCCCTGCTGGGCTGCAGGCTAGGGGCGCCTTGTCTGCACACAAGCAGAAGCACGCGCACCTAGAAGCTCTAGGTATCTGGGCCAGGCTGCAGGGCCCTTCCCCTCAGTCTCTCCTCACCCACAGCTGCTCCCTGGACTCTTGCAGCCCACCGTCTGTTGCCCAAGGCTCCACAAATGCTTCTCAAATGGACCCAGTGGGTGTGTGGCTGCACCGGGAGGAGGTGGGCAGCCTACCCGGCGGTCTCACCACAACCAAGAGCCTGTGGGGGGACGTGAGGCTGCGTACCCTAGCCCGTGTCTGCATCCCCTGTGCAAGCAGGTGCACAGTCCCACCCGAGGGTGCATCTTGTGTGCGCTGCCCTGGGGGGTGTGGGGTGCCTGGCCTAGACGGCGCCTCTGGGAACACAATGAACCGCGTAGTGAACTGTGAGCATTTTGATGGTGTCTCCAGTCAATCAACGTGGGCACATACGGCTGGGTCTGGGTGGGATTTGCCCCTGTGGGCTGCAGCCGCGAGCCGTCAGAGCGTGGGATTTGCACGAGTGGGTGTGGAGCCGTGCAGGCAGCTGGCAGGAGAGTGAGCCACCCGGCTCAGCCCCCGGCGGCCGGGCTGCCGCACCCCAGAGCGCCAGCAGAGGGCGCAGGGGCGCACTCGGGCCGTCGCACCGTGGAGCCGGGAACAAAGGCTGGGCGGGGGCGGGCAGCGAGGCGGTCGGGGCGGCCCCTCCCAGCGGACCCCAGGGTCCCCCTTCAGCCCCTTCTTCGGAACCCGTGATGTTCTGAACCCAAGGCGGCAGGAGCCCCGCTTTCCAGCTTATGAGTCCCTTCCCCACCCCGCAGCCTCCGGGAAACCAAGTCCTCAGAACCCAGAGAGGGTGTCCCCAGCCCGGGGACACACAGCGAGCGGGAGGGCCGACCTGCCAGAGGCCCCGCCCTCTGCGGGGAGGTGACAGTGTCCGAGGAGTTGAAGCCTCCGAAGAGCTTGGGCTCGGCGGCCGCGGGGGGCACGAAGGCGGCGCTGGGCCCGCGGTGGGAGTCGGCGGAGGCGGGCTTGCTCGGTGTCTGTGAGGCTGGGAAGGCGCCCCCTGGCCCGTGCACGTTCTCCGCGGGCTCCAGGCTGCGGCGCCGCTGGCTGGCATCCTTGGGCTTGCTTTTGTTGCTGCCCATGGTCCTGGCTGGGGCGACAGAAGACCCTGAGGTAGAAGAGAGCCTCTGGGAGCAGACAAGACGCCCCACCCACTCAGCGGGCCTCAGGGTTCTGAGAAGGGCACTAGCCACCCGGGGAGGCCTAGCTAGCCTCATGACTTGACCTATAAAACGGGCGGGTTGTTGGCACCTTAGGACCCAGCTAAGGGTAGAAGACACGCCAGTCCAAAGCCCTGACCACCGCTATTCAAAGGCAGTTTCAGCCTTTCATGGGCAGGGAAACTGAGTCACATCTGTGTCCCCAGCACACAGGAGGGGCTCACTTAGGTTTTGATGAATGACTACATGACTGACAAGGGAAGGTGTTACATGTGTTCATCGAGGCAGCATACTCTGGCTTGAAGAAGGGATGGCCGGGCCCGCCAGCCACAGACCTTTGCAAACACTGTTCCCAGACGCCTTGACCGGCACAAATCAGGCTCCTTCAACTCTCAGCTCGAAAGTCACTTTTGAGTTGGGGAGATGGCTCAGCAGGTGAAGGCATCTGCCACAATCCCTGCTGACCTCGGTTCAATCCCCGGGACCCCCATGATGGAAAGAGGGGTGAGGAAAATGGTCCTGCAAGCTGTTCCCAGGCCTTCAGACATGCCATGGCTCACACACACCTCCCCATAAGCACACAGAACAAATAAACACATGCAACAAAAATGTTTCAAGTTATGTCCTTTAGGAGGGGGTCCCCAAAACCTTTCATGAGCCCCTGACTACCCCGTTGGTTATATGCAACCTCTTTTTTTTTTTAAGGAAAACATGATTTTAAATAACTCCATCTTCATAGCTATGTATAAATGTCAGAGTTCTCGGTCAGACTTGAAAACTCCTTTGAACAAGTCCTTGGCAATCTCTTCATTGTTCTTGGTGACCCTGATAACCCTTTGATCAAAACTGAGGTCAGAGGGGCATGTGAAAGGTCACCTTAACCCCCCTCTTCTTTTGATTCCTATAACTGCTCACTGGTGTGCACAGAGTGAGGTACACAGCCAAATGAATGATGAGTGATGACAGAAACCTGAGTTCAAAGATGAAGCCCAAAAGGTTGGGAGGTCCTGGGACCAGGACACACAGAGGGAATGAAGCTGGTGGCTACATGGCACCCCAAGGCCAGGGTGCCCTCCTCCACATCCGTGCCCAACCCAGGAAGCTGGGCCAGGGGCTCTGCCCTCTCACCCCCACTCACCTGGTAGGCCGCAGGGCTACCCCAGTGGATCTGGGGACAGTCTGGGGCCTGACACAAACACCAGCTGTAGCTGTTCCACCTCTCCTGCTATGTGTCTCTAGGCAAGTTGCTCCCTTTCTCTAGGCTTCAACGTCCGCATCTGCAGGGCCTCTGTGGGGATGTGAACATGGAAACTGTTAGAGCTCACACTCTGAGGGTCATCAGAAGCCTCTCGCTGCCAAAATGCTCTTTGGCCCTTCCAAAGAGCCTAGGAGAGAGAGAAAGGTGGGTGGCACAGTGGTTTGGAAGGCTCTGGAAGCCAACTCCCAGTTCCAGCCTCAGCTCTCTAGGACACTGTGCCCTATGCCATTTCTTCCCCTTACGTGGCAGAGCTGCAGGGCCATAGCGGGGGGGGGGGGGGGGGTTACCCTGCACACGGGTGCTCACTGGCTTGTGTTCTGAATGCACCACCAAGAGGGGTGGAGAAATCTCCTGGGATGCAGAGGACCTGGGCACAGTCCAGACCTCCTCAAGAACTTTGACACGAACAAGCCTCCTCCACTGTCCTGTTTCAAGCCCAGCTCTGTGGCACCTGGCCCACGGGGACCTGGACACAGCAGCCAGTCCTTCACCCTCAGAGCTGTGGAGGTGCATGCTGGGAGTGGCTAATGTCCAGGCTTAGAGAATGTAGGGACTGGGGAGACACCAGGGGACCAAGGGATCACCGGGGACTCCTGGGGGCGGAGCCAGCAGTGGGCAGCCAGGAAAGGCCTGTTTCCATGGCAACCCATTCCCTCCAGGTCACATTGCCCATCAGCACTCACAAACTCAGTGTCCTGAGGGGTGTGCCGGCCCATGGATTTCCCCACAGCCTGGCTTGCCAGAGGCTGTAGCCCAGTCCACCCACTCAATCCCCATGCAGCTGTTCAGGTCCTGGACATCAGGTCCTAGCTGCCACAGAAGGACTCAGAGAAACAATACAACCTATGAAGACAGGTTTTTAAATAAACTCTATTTACAATATACGAGTTATCTGATAGCAAGCAGGAGCTTTCTTCAGAATGAACACAGTAATGCAGTGCGTGTCCCCTCTCACTGGAGGGAATCAATGGGCTCCTGGCAGAGGTGCCTGAACAGAGGAGGAACCATCCCTGGAATTTGAGGGAAACATGCACCTCCCCAGTACAAGTAAAAGTAAAGTAAAGTAAAGATAAATAAATAAATAAATAAATAAATAAATAAATAAATAAATAAGTAAGTAAGTAAGTAAGTAAGTAAATAAATAAATAAATAAATAAATAAATAAATAAATAAATAAATAAATAAATAGATAAATAAATAAATAAATAAAGTGGAGGCCTAAGGCGCAGCCAGGGAGACCTGGGCCATGGGTGCCATGCTGGCTGGGGTGGGGTAGGACCTATCTGTGGAAGGGGTCTGTGGTTAATGCTCCTTAGACACACACCAGGTGTCTGAAAAGGCAGCAAGGTCAGGAGCCAGCCCCAGAGTGGGCCGCAGCAGATGGACTGAGGGCGGACAGGGGAAATGGAGAGATTGTGGGAAAGGAAAGGGACCCTTACCCAAACTGTGCGAGGCCCTCTCCAGTTGAGAGTTAGTAGTTCTGGCACAAGCAGGGAAGCCTGGCGACACAGGTAAATTTCCTTCTATGTAGGGTATTTCAAATAAGGACCGAAGCAGGACCAGTGAGCTGGCTCAACCCGTGAAGCCTGACAACCACGGGGAGGAAGGACCTGACTCCCACGAGTTGTCTTTTGACTTCTATACACGTGCTATGACACATACTCACACATATCACACACACACACTAACAAAGAAATACCGAACTAGCAACGAACCATGGTTAAGGCCCAAGATTACATGACCTTCGGGTGTGCCCTTTCTCCTTTTCCAGCTAAACCTGCCACCTGCCAGGCATCTCCAAACCCCGTTTATAGCCTCGGGCCCTCGTTCCACCCTTTGAGCCATGGTCTCACCATCACTCTAATCCTTCCCCGGGTGCCCAGAGCTGCCCTAGAATGTCACCTGGGAGGGAACTGGGCTAGAAAGCTGGCTCAGCGGTTAATCAGGTTCAGATCCCTGCACCCATGTGACAAGTCTGGCATCCAGCAAATGCCTGAAACTCTGGGATGGAGGGATCCAATGCCCTTTTCTGTCCTCCAAGCACAAAGAGACAGTCACCTACACACACACAAACACCTGTGCACACACATGAACACATAAACCTTTTTTTTTAAGACAAAAAAGGAGGCCGGGCATAGTGGCACAAGCCTTTAATCCCAGCACTCAGGAGGCAGAGACAGGCAGATCTCTGTGAGTTCAAAGCTAGCCTGGTCTACACAGTGAGTTCAAGGCCAACCAGAGCTACATGGTGAGACCTTATCTCAAAAGGAAGGAGAGTGGAGGCTGGCAAAGTAAAGGGGAGACAAAGGAGGCAGGGTCCCTTAGGCATCGTTTGAGCAGCGCAATTCCAAAATCCTACAGACAGATACAGCGAAGGGACTGGGGGAGGGGCTGCCCTTTTCAGACGCACCTCTCTTTCTGTTAACTTCTATGTCCACGTCTATACATGCTTCTGTGTGCACATCGGGGGGTCCCACACACTGAGGACCTTCCACAGTTGCTTCTTCACCTTCTCTTTTCCACACACGCTTCCACACAGCCCAGGCTGACCCTGAACTTGCTAAGTAGCTGAGGATAGCCTCCTGATCCTCCTGCCTACATTTCCCAAGTGCCAGGTATACACTGCCAAGTCCTGTTTATCCACGCCGGAGATGGAGCCCAGGGCCTTCGCATGTGAGACAAGCATTCTGCTGATGGAGTCCCCTCCTCAGCCCTGCATTCTTTTCTTTTAGAGGATATTTTTATGTGCACTGGTGTTTTGTGTGCATGTATTTCTGTGTGAGGGTTTGGGATCTCCCAGAACTAGAGTTACAGGCAGTTGTGAGCTGCCATGTAGGTGCTGGGAATTGAACCTAGGTCCTCTGGAAGAGTGGATAGGGCTCTAACTGCTGAGCCAGCTCTCCAGCTGCCCTAAATTCGTTTCTTAATAAACTCAACTCTGCTTTATACCGACTCATCCTGAAATTCTTTTCTGCAGCTGCAGGCTGCTGCAGGTGACAGTGTGGGACTCCTGTACACAGGTCTACAGCTTGGGACCACTGGAAATGGATGAGAGATGTGCTCTGAAACACAGGGAGGGCCTGTACCGGCCCCTAAGGATGGTAACCAGCCCAAGTGGACTATGGGAGAGCCATCAACCAAGCTCCTTGGACACCAGACTCCCTCTCTGAACAGCATCCATGGCAGACAGGATGCTGCCAGCTGTTCAGAAAACATTTGCAAGGTAAATAGAAGACCGAACACAGCCATACAAAGCTACACCCTGCTTAGTCACTGAGTGGGTCACTTTACAGAAACCGAGGACCGCTGGGTGTTCCCGTTCAAACCCTGGAGAAGCTAGGCCCTGCTTCAAGCTCTTTGCACACACTGAATCCTCACGAGCATCTAGAATGTGAGGATAAACAGCATCCTTAGTTCACTGACAGGGAGGCTCAGGAGTGAAAACACTTGCCTGAAGTCACACAGCATTCGAGTTAAGACAGGGTGGTGGCAGCAAGAGACACATAGGGCTGCTTGAGGGGTCTAGTGGGAACTGGGGGCCTCTCAGGACATCAGTAGTTGGGAAGTGCACCAACAAGGCCTTTAGCAGTATTGGGGGGGCATACACGGTGAGGTTGGGGCTCCCTTTGGAGAGTGTCTCTCCTCTCAGGCTCCCCGGAGTAGGGGTGTGACATCTGCCCCATCACCATGAGTCACCTATTTGAGGGGACCCTATCTCTTCCACCACTTGCAATGTATGAAGTAGAGATAGGTCCTTGAGGGCCAAAGGGAAGCAGCACAGGATGTGAACTGAGGTCCCAAAAGGAAGGTGGCCCTTTCCCCTGGGCTGGGTGCCTGACCACAGGCTCCTGATGGTTTCCAAGACAGCAAGGGTTTCCACACCCCAGCACCAATAGACCAGGTCCTGCCCAACCCAACATCGCCCTACCCCTGTCCCAGCCCCTGCGCAGCTCAGCCTGTCACCAAATGCTTGCAGCGCACTGGCTCTGGGTGAACCTTGTCTAGCTGCTGCTGGAACCCTGAGGAAGCTCCAGAATCTTCCACCAATGCAACCTGTCTCCTCCCAGCACCATCCCTTAAGCCAGGGGCCTGCCATCCTCAAAGACACAGCCACGGTGTCCCCTCATGCCCACCCTAAAGAAGCCAGAGAGGTATCTCTGCAAATCACACAGCCTAATGGCTCTCCCCAGAAAACCAGTAAGATGTGAGTGTCCATCAGCGGGGTCCAAAGAAACAACAGCCCATCTATCCTGAGGACACTGGCCAGCACTGGAGCTCAGTACAGTTTGGAAAGATGCTCCTGCCTCACTAGCAAAGCAAAGACAAAGAGAGAAAGATGATGGCCTCCTTGCTGGCAGGGTACCACCTCCACTGGCATCGTGGTGCCTGGCTTTCCTGGAAAGTGGGGTCACTCTCACCAGCGACCCCACAGTGTGGGTGAGGGGTTGCCTGTATTGCCCCTGGCAAACAGTAACCACTGTTTTGGGGGTGTGACTGCTTTGTGTGGGTGCACGCTCACGCACGTGTGTGCAGACAGGTGCGCACATGCTCAAGGCTCAGAGAAAGTTTGGGAGAACCCCCGAGTCTTCACAGCCTGTCATCCGACAAGGGGCAGGAGCGGAAAAAGACAATCTCCTTTTGTTTATGTCCTGCCGTCAGGTGACCTCTGGGTGTCACTTTCTCATGACAATTATCATTACAGGGCCGGGGGTGGAGCCGAGGTCTTTGCTCACTAGGCAAGCGACCCAGGACCACATAAGAACATTCAAGGGTACCCCTGTGCCAGGTACAACTCCCCTGTGCCGAGGCCTGAGTGGCTGGCCCACTGATCTGCTCTGGGAAGGGGGCCCATTGCCCAGCCTCCCCCTACCCAGCCCTCCCTCCCCCCACCCAGGACTCTGTACTGTCTCTCTAGCAGGTTCATATCATCCTCCTCCCCTGAAGATGTTTCCTCTTCTCAGGGTGACTGAGGCCAGTGTGGCAGGCCTGCGATGAGGGCTCCAGCACAGTGCAGCACAGGTCTGCATCTA